AAACGCTCACTTTGCATATGAATGTTTGTGGGTTCTGTATAGGAATAATTTTCAGTCATCTGTTTGATTTATTAGTTATAATATTAACTTGTAAGGAGTGAGTGAGTTGTCATACTTGATCATAATCTTACTAGAACTATATATAACAACAAAACAAAACGCTCTAAATTGAATAAAATGAATTCATGATTTTGTTTTTTAAGAAATTTCCGATACAAAGTAAACATTAAAATTATACAATATATACTGATAAAATATTATTCTTTAGATAGTGTGAATAATTTGTGTTAAATCAAATCAAATGTGAAGAAAAATACATTAGGTAATGTTTTCGGTATACAGTATAATGTTTTCGGTATACAGTATATAATGTTTTCGGTATACAGTATATAATGTTTTCGGTATACAGTATATAATGTTTTCGGTATACAGTATATAATGTTTTTGGCATACAGTATATAATGTTTTCGGTATACAGTATATAATGTTTTCGGTATACAGTATATAATGTTTTTGGCATACAGTATATTATATATATTCTTGTAGCCCAACTCATCACTAGATCTTCAGGTACACATTAAAACCAATCCTTACGAATAGGTAGACGAATAAAATACACACTACCTGTACTTAATTACCTGTGTTCAAAAATGTAATCAATCTTCATTACTCACAGATGAATAAATACTGCACATTTATATTATCATCAATATTATTAGTTTTTAATTGATGGTTATGCCTTTAGAGATTGTATAACATGGCCAGCTTAACCTATCATAGCGTGTGTTGTAACTTAGGCCAGGGAGGGACTTGGTTAGGTTAAGTACTCAAGACTGACTAATCCTTGTCTTCTACCTGTTCTCTCTCTCTCTCTCCATGGTCAAATTTTAATTTATCATTAGGTATATAGTCAAATTTATTTATTAATTTTATGTTTTATTGATGTAATTTTCTTTTTTTATTTATTATTTTTATTGTATTTTATAGATTTTGTTGTATGAATTTTTCCATCGACGTTAGAGTCAGTTTCTTGGTACAGAGGTTGAGGGAGATCTTGTCAGTGGCCAACGACCTCATGAAATTGCCCGTCAAGATGCCTAGCTATATGATGTTCCACTTGGCTATTCCTTCAACGAAAACTCTTATGATGTTTTGAAGAAGTTGAGATACGACGACTCAATAAACGTTTCAGTAAGATCAATATATAAACGTTTCAGTAAGATCAATATATAAAAGTTTCAGTAAGATCAATATATAAAAGTTTCAGTAAGATCAATATATAAACGTTTCAGTAAGATCAATATATGAAAGTTTCAGTAAGATCAAATATATAAACGTTTCAGTAAGATCAATATATAAACGTTTCAGTAAGATCAATATATAAACGTTTCAGTAAGATCAATATAAAAACGTTTCAGTAAGATCAATATAAAAACGTTTCAGTAAGATCAATATATAAACATTTCAGTAAGATCAATATAAAAACGTTTCAGTAAGATCAATATATAAACGTTTCAGTAAGATCATTATATAAACGTTTCAGTAAGATCAATATATAAACGTTTCAGTAAGATCAATATATAAACGTTTCAGTAAGTTCAATATATAAACGTTTCAGTAAGGTCAATATATAAACGTTTCAGTAAGATCAATATATAAACATTTCAGTAAGATCAATATATAAACGTTTCAGTAAGATCAATATATAAAAGTTTCAGTAAGATCAATATATAAACGTTTCAGTAAGATCAATATATAAACGTTTCAGTAAGATCAATATATAAAAGTTTCAGTAAGATCAGTATAAAAACGTTTCAGTAAGATCAATATAAAAACGTTTCAGTAAGATCAATATATAAACGTTTCAGTAAGATCATTATATAAACGTTTCAGTAAGATCAATATATAAACGTTTCAGTAAGATCATTATATAAACGTTTCAGTAAGATCAATATATAAACGTTTCAGTAAGATCAATATATAAACGTTTCAGAAAGATCAATATATAAACGTTTCAGTAAGATCAATATATAAACGTTTCAGTAAGGTCAAATATATAAACGTTTCAGTAAGGTCAAATATATAAACGTTTCAGTAAGGTCAAATATATAAACGTTTCAGTAAGATCAAATATATAAACGTTTCAGTAAGATCAATATATAAACGTTTCAGTAAGGTCAAATTTATAAAAGTTTCAGTAAGATCAATATATAAACGTTTCAGTAAGATCAATATATAAACGTTTCAGTAAGATCATTATATAAACGTTTCAGTAAGATCAATATATAAACGTTTCAGTAAGATCAATATATAAACGTTTCAGTAAGATCAATATATAAACGTTTCAGTAAGATCAATATATAAACGTTTCAGTAAGATCAATATATAAACGTTTCAGTAAGGTCAAATATATAAACGTTTCAGTAAGGTCAAATATATAAACGTTTCAGTAAGATCAAATATATAAACGTTTCAGTAAGGTCAAATATATAAACGTTTCAGTAAGATCAATATAAAAACGTTTCAGTAAGATCAATATATAAACGTTTCAGTAAGATCATTATATAAACGTTTCAGTAAGATCAATATATAAACGTTTCAGTAAGGTCAAATATATAAACGTTTCAGTAAGATCAATATATAAATGTTTCAGTAAGATCAATATATAAACGTTTCAGTAAGATAAGATAAAACTATTGGTTAAACTTAAATGGTCAGAGTTTTTTGAGGATTTAAACACTGAGTAAATGATGGAGTTGTTGTTGTGTTGGGTTTTTTGGGAGATGCATTAAATAAAATAGGCAAGATTTTACGACACACTAAGCTAAAAGCCGACACTACACTACGACACTGAGCTAATAAGACGGCACTACGACACACTGAGCTAATAAGCCGACACTACACTACGACACACTGAGCTAATAAGCCGACACTACACTACGACACACTGAACTAATAAGACGGCACTACGACACACTGAACTAATAAGCCGACACTACACTACGACACACTGAGCTAATAAGACGGCACTACGACACACTGAACTAATAAGCCGACACTACACTACGACACACTGAACTAATAACACGGCACTACGACACACTGAGCTAATAAGCCGACACTACACTACGACACTGAGCTAATAAGCCGACACTACACTACGACACACTGAACTAATAAGACGGCACTACGACACACTGAACTAATAAGCCGACACTACACTACGACACACTGAACTAATAAGCCGACACTACACTACGACACTGAGCTAATAAGCCGACACTACACCGACACGCTGAACTAATAGCCGACACTACACTACACTGGCTTAAGGACACTACTACGACAGACTGAGCTTATAAGCCGACACTACACTACGACACACTGAACTAATAAGCCGACACTACACTACGACACTGAGCTAATAAGCCGACACTACACTACGACACACTGAACTAATAAGACGGCACTACGACACACTGAACTATAAGCCGACACTACACTACGATACACTGAGCTAATAAGCCGACACTACACTACGACACTGAGCTAATAAGACGGCACTACACTACGACACACTGAACTAATATGCCGACACTACACTACGACACACTGAACTAATATGCCGACACTACACTACGACACTGAGCTTATAAGCCGACACTTCACTACGACACTTAATCTAATAAGCCGACACTACACTACGACACACTGAGCTTATAAGCCGACACTTCACTACGACACTGAGCTAATAAGACGGCACTACACTACGACACACTGAACTATACCGACACTACACTACGACACACTGAGCTTATAAGCCGACACTTCACTACGACACTGGGCTTTTAGCGGAAACTACACTACGACACACTGAACTAATAGCCCGAAACTATACTACGACACTGAGCTAATAAGCCTCCATTACACTACGAGACAGTGAGCTAATAAGCCTCCACTACACTACGACACACTGAACTAATAGCCTCCACTACACTACGACACAGTGAGCTAATAAGCCGACACTACACTACGACACACTGAGCTAATAAGACGGCACTACACTACGACACACTGAGCTAATAAGACGGCACTACACTACGACACACTGAACTAATATGCCGACACTACACTACGACACACTGAACTAATATGCCGACACTACACTACGACACTGAGCTTATAAGCCGACACTTCACTACGACACTAATCTAATAAGCCGACACTACACTACGACACACTGAGCTTATAAGCCGACACTTCACTACGACACTGAGCTAATAAGACGGCACTACACTACGACACACTGAACTAATATGCCGACACTACACTACGACACACTGAGCTTATAAGCCGACACTTCACTACGACACTGGGCTTAGCGGAAACTACCGACACACTGAACTAATAAGCCGAAACTATACTACGACACTGAGCTAATAAGCCTCCACTACACTACGAGACAGTGAGCTAATAAGCCTCCACTACACTACGACACACTGAACTAATAGCCTCCACTACACTACGACACAGTGAGCTAATAAGCCGACACTACACTACGACACACTGAGCTAAGACAGCACTACGACACACACTGAACTAATAAGCCGACACTACACTACGACACACTGAACTAATAAGCCGAAACTATACTACGACACTGAGCTAATAAGCCTCCACTACACTACGAGACAGTGAGCTAATAAGCCTCCACTACACTACGACACACTGAGCTAATAGCCCGACACTACACTACGACACACTGAGCTAATAAGCCGACACTACACTACGACACACTGAGCTAATAAGACGGCACTACGACACTGAACTAATAAGCCGACACTACACTACGACACACTGAACTAATAAGCCGAAACTATACTACGACACTGAGCTAATAAGCCTCCACTACACTACGAGACAGTGAGCTAATAAGCCTCCACTACACTACGACACACTGAGCTATAAATACTGAAGGTTAAATGATAATGTCCACGTACCTGATTTACCAACGCCTTTATCACCGATGATGACGATGTTGGTGCTAGTGACGGTGCTGTCAGAGGGTAGTACCCGGCCCTCTGTACTGCTGCTGCTGCTGGTGGTGGTGCTGCTGCTGTTGCCGAAGGTGAAGCTGCTACTGAAGACGTTTCCTCGCAAGAACAGATTTCTAAGGCTCTTGGTGCTATTGACGCTGCTGCTGCTGGTCTTACTGTCGCAGCTGCTGTTACTGCTGAGGCTGTTGGTCTTGCTGTTAATGCTGTTGGATTTGATGGTGTGGCTATTGGTTTTGCTGCTGTTGATGCTGTTAAGTCCGTTGGTCTTACTTTTACGGCCGTTGATCTTACTGTTAAGTTCATTGATTTTGCTGTTAAGGCTAGTGAGCTTGCTGTTAAGGCCGTTAGTTTTGGTGGTAAAGCCGTTGATCTTGCTGTTAAAGCCGTTGGTCTTGCTGTTAAAGCCGTTGGTTTTGCTGTTTAGGCTGTTGGTTTTGATGTTAGGGCTGTTGGTCATGCTGTTAAGGGTGATCCTGCCGTCAAGGCTGTTAGTCTTTGTCTTCCTGTTAAGAATGTTGAACTTGCTGGTGTGGTGGGCGGTGGGACTGGTGTGGTGGGCGATGGGACTGGTGTTGTGGGCGGTGGCACTGGTGTTGTGGGCGGTGGCACTGGTGTTGTGGGTGGTATTGGTATTGTGGGTGGAGGTACTGGTGTTATGGGCAGTAGCAGTGGTGGTGTTCTGGGTGGAAGTGGTGTGAGTTGCGGGAGTGATGTTATGGGTGGAGGGAGTGATGTTGTGAGTAACAATAGAGGTGGTGTGGGTGGCGGGAGTGGTACTATGGGTGGAGGGAGTGACGTTGTGGGTGGTGGTGGTGGCGGGAGTGGTAATATAGGTGGAGGGTGTGATGTTGTGGGTGGTGGTGATGGCGGGAGTGGTAATATGGGTGGAGGGTGTGATGTTGTGGGTGGTGGTGGATATAATATTATGTGTGGTGTTAGTATTATTGGTATCGTGGGTGGCGTTGGTATTGGTATTGAGGATGGCGGTGGTGGCGGTGTGAGGTTTGGGCAGCAGCAGGAGGTCAGGCCGGGGTACCCGCCAGACACACATCCCGCCCACCACCCACGCCACGTCGCTTTTTCAGGGTGTGCAGCGTGATCCCGTTTTTGAGTGCCAGCAGACACCTCCCCCGAGTAGTGCTGTTACTGCTATCTGAAGCACTGCCGCTAATCATTTTATTTTTTTCTGTTTGGGTGCTGCTGTTATCTGATGCGCAGCTGTTGCTGTTGTCAGAAGTGATGCTGTTGGTGTTGTTGGTACTGGAAGAGCTACTGCCACTGCTGCTGTTAGCGCTGTCCAAGTCACTAGTATTGGTGCAGGTTGTGCTTGTAGAGTCAGATGAGCTGGTACTGGCTGACCGCCCCCGGGAGGCGCCGCCTGGCCGGGTCCCCACACACCTTCCGCAATTATCCCCGCTACTCAACCTGGGGAGACAGTGGCTGGTGCACGAGGACCAGTACTGGGTGTTGGGTACATGCCCCTCCTCCTCCCCCCCTCCGTCAGTAGTCTCACGTCCTGGTGTTAGGTGCTGGTCACTCCCACTTGCTGCATAGCCTCCTGCGCTACCCTGTCCAGTGTCAACAGGCAGGTAGGAGCTCGTCTTCATCGTCAGGCCACTTTTCAGCGTCAGGGGAGGTGTGGTCAAGAAGCCCAATTTGAATTTCATATTGAAGCAACTGGTAGCCGCATTTAACGGACTTAGAACTGGTTAATTACTTAATCAGTTACCGGACTCCTAAAGTAAACGATCATAAGTAGAGGACAAGGCAGGTCTAAATTTATGATGATCTCACCCACAGGTAATGGGTTTTTTAGCGAGATTAATTAAAGCAGCGCAGCCATTGATCTGTCACTTGACTCTTGGTACCCGAGGTCTCGTGGATGATTCTGGCTGTTCAGTTCGTGCAACATTTATCATATTATAACGTCCTCTTCTCCTGAACCACTTTCTGCACCTCGGCCACTTACTTACCTCTTACCCTGTAAATATATTCCGAATAATATACGATCACAGTATAATATTGATTAATTTACACTTCCGTTGGGTATTTGTAAAGGCGGGGTGTGGCGGGAGGTGATGATGAGGGTGGGTGGAGCGCTCACGTGTTATAAGATGGTTGGCCAGCGAGCAACTGATGTCTGACGGGCCGACCTACCACCACTCACAACCCTCATGACCCCTTGCAGGTGCCAAGTTTATCTTTCCCTGAACTTCCCTAACGAATTCTTTGCAACTTTCTAAGTGATATGCAGTATGTATGCGACCCGCAATGGAGGCGATCCATGTGTACAAACCAACTGGACTGGAAAGTGAGCACACACACTGTAATATTTCTATGAATAAAGATTATGTTTGAGTGGTCAGTGATCAACCCGCCTCAACCATGAGAGTTGCCGGATGCTGCCAGTGTGGGAAACTACGTAGCATCATTATCATCTTCCACATGATTTCTCGAGATGTTGCATATCTTAACAATTGCCTTAAAACAGCTTGGTGTAGTGAGTTAGGCTCCTTACATTTATACATTCACATTAGACGTAGAATGAAGGAAATTTTAGCCGTGAAGAAGATAAAGATGGAAAAACGTAAACCAGAAAAAGTGTATTATTTCCAATCGAGAAGGAGGATCGACAATGCGATTCAGAGTGAACAATAGCAAGAGTTCAAATACCCTTCCCGAGCGTTCTCATCCCACTTGGGGCGAGAATAAAACAATATCACAACAGCAGAATACATTACCCGCCCTGAAAAGCTTTAATCATTTCCCACAAAGCGGTCCTAATCTAAGGGACAGATTACCTGCTCTTGATAACGTTAATTAATCTGGCGCCTCAACAAGGTCCCAAGACGCCTTAAGTGTCAGGTGGATGGTAGTGGTGGGTGGTGGTCATGTGGATGGTGGTTGTAGTGATGATGATGAAGGTATAGTCAGCCAGTAGCGTGGTGTGGTTGGTGGAGGGGGAGGGAGGGAAGCGAGGCGTTGACTATAATGATGACTCTAACTAGCCGTAAGTAATGATGGTGTTGATGGTGAGGGCAGATAGTGATGATGTATCGGTGTTTGTCTCTGATGGCTGTGGTGATTGTGGCTCCCACCCCCGCTGAGGTAATATAGTGCTTTACTCTGGCCCAGGCGCCGCGTGACCTCGGGGCTAGTAAAGGTCAAGTCTTGTGCAGGTGTGTCCAGTGAATTGTGCACTATATATTATGTACTATTATGATTAAGTGTCTATTGATTGAGTTGTGTGTGTGTGTGTGTGTGTGTGTGTGTGTGTGGAGGTAAGGTGTCTTTGTGCTGAGATATGCGAGCGTGTGTGTGTGTGTGTGTGTGTGTGTGGATGTGTGTGTGTGTGTGAGTGTGTGCTGTGCGGGAGGTATGTTTATATACTGAATATATTGGGGATATGTTTGTTTGTGTGTGTGTGTGTGTGTGTGTGTGTGTGTGTGTGTGTGTGTGTGTGTGTGTGTGTGGGTGTGTGTGTGTGTGGTGTGTGTGTGTGTGTGGATGTGTGTGTGTGTGTGTGTGTGTGTGTGTGTGTGTGTGTGTGTGGAGGGAGGTAAGGTGTCTTTGTGCTGAGATATGCTGTGTGTGTGGGTGTGTGTGTGTGTGATGTGTGTGTGATGTGTGTGTGTGTGGATGTGTGTGTGTGTGTGTGTGTGTGTGTGTGTGTGTGTGTGGGAGGAGGTAAGGTGTCTTGTGCTGAGATATGCTAGTGTGTGTGTGTGTGTGTGTGTGTGTGTGTGTGTGTGTGTGTGTGTGTGTGTGTGTGTGTGTGTGTGTGTGTGTGTGTGTTCTTACAGATATCAAATACTGTAGGAAAGATAAAAAGTAAGCAATTAAAGCCAAAATAATACAGTACAGTATATATATATATATATGTTGCCCTAAGAGGTGTAGCCTACAGGCGCCAGCAGCGACTTCAACGAGTCACCATAAACGTATTCAAGGTTACCACCATCACTGTAACACCATACCACTATAGTCAGAACTCACTCCACTACAATTACAGTACTACTATTTTTTACGACACTCACAGTACCACTACCACCCAGACAGTAACCACTACCACACTCAGACAGTAACTACCACACTCAGACAGTAACCATTACCACTCAATACATACCACACAGACAGTATCCACTACCACACCCAGACAGTAACCATTACCACACAGACAGTAACCACTACCACACTCACAGTACCACCACACTCACACCAATTACCACACAGACAGTAACCACTACCACACAGACAGTAACCATTACCACACCCAGACAGTAACCACTACCACACTCACAGTACCACTACCACACTCACAATACAATACACCCAGACAGTAACCACTACCACACCGACAGTAACACTACCACACCCAGACAGTAACCACTACCACACCCAGACAGTAACCACTACCACACCCAGACAGTAACCATTACCACACCCAGACAATAACCACTACCACACACGACAGTAACCACTACCACACCCAGACAGTAACCACTACCACACTCACAGTACCACTACCACACCCAGACAGTAACCATTACCACACCCAGACAGTAACCACTACCACACTCAGTACCATTACCACACCCATACAGTAACCTACCACACAGACAACCTACCACACCCAGACAGTAACCACTACCACACCGAGACGTAACCACCACCCAGACAGTAACCACTACCACACCCAGACAGTAACCACTACCACACAGACAGTACCATTACCACACCCAGACAACACTACCACACCCAGACGGTAACCACTACCACACTAGACAGTAACCACTACCACACCCAGACAGTAACCACTACCACACTCACAGTACCATTACCACACCCAGACAGTAACCACTACCACACCCAGACAGCAACCACTACCACACCCAGATAGTAACCACTACCACACCCAGACAGTAACCACCACCACACTCACAGTACCATTACCACACCCAGACAGTAACCACTACCACACCCAGACAGTAACCACTACCACCTCACAGTACCATTACCACACCCAGACATACCACTACCACCCCAGACAGTAACAGTATCACACCCGGACAGTAACCATTACCACACCCAGACAGTAACCATTACCACACCCAGACAGTAACCATTACCACACCCAGACAGGAACCACTACCACACTTACAGTACCATTACCACACCCAGACAGTAACCACTACCACACCCAGACAGTAACCACTACACCCAGACAGTAACCACTACCACCTCACAGTACCATTACCACACCCAGACAGTAACCACTACACACCCAGACAGCAACCACTACCACACCCAGATAGTAACCACTACACCCAAGACAGTAACCACCACCACACTCCTGGTACCATTACCACACCCAGACAGTAACCACTACCACACCCAGACAGTAACCACTACCACACTCACAGTACCATTACCACACAGACAGTAACCACTACCACACCCAGACAGTAACCAGTATTGTACAGACAGTAACCATTACCACACCCAGACAGTAACCATTACCACACCAAGACAGTAACCACTACCACAATACAGTACCATTACCACACCCAGACAGTAACCACTACCACACCCAGACAGTAA